TCACTCCTTCTGTTACATTTGCTTTACCCCTTGCTTCCTCCTGCTTCTCAGACAGCTTGTACTGGGGTTCGTTAGAACCCCCTATATATGTTCTCATATATATGTACTTTGATTCTCTTTGCCTCCAGGACTCTCTCTTTCCCCCTCCTCTATCCCACTGATTGCCCCCTGCCAGACAGTCCCTTTACACTCATGTCCCATTATTATTTCAGGTCTAGATACTGCATGAGAGAAAACCTGCAATATTCGGCTTTTTGAGTTTGCCTTATTTCTATCAACACGATGACTCTCTAGTTCCATCCATTTTCCTGCAAATGACATAATCCCACTCTTCTTTACGGCTGAATAATACTCCACTGTGTGCATGGACTACATTTTCTTTATCCGTTCATTGGTTGTTGGGGTCATAGGCTGATTCCACAGTTTAGCTATTGTGAATAGTGCTACTGTGAGAAATAGGTGTGCAGGTATCTCTCCTGTGTGTTGATTTATACTCCTTTGACTATATGCTGGGAGTTATATTTGCTCCCCTTTCTTTATGGCCAAAGACCACTCTGGAACTTTCCATTATGGTGGCTGAATGTCAATCATAGCATATTGGGTCTCATCCATGGACACTGGCTTCCCACCTACCGCTCCAGCCTCTTTCTCAGCCCTCATCAGCTCTGTCCTCCATTATTACAACACCCCACTGGTCTACCACCAGTTTGGAGCACTGTGAGAAAGCTCCCATGGCTGAAGAGCAGTGAGTGAGCCAGGAGTGAGTGAGTTTATTTGCCTATGAAAAAAAAATCTATAATTTTATTTATTTATTTTTTTTTTGAGATAATGTCTCGCTATGTAGCCCAGGCCAGTCTCAAACTTGTGGTCCTCCTGCCTCAACCTCCTGAGTTGCTGGGATTACAAGTGGGAACAATCATATGCAGTTAAAATCTATAATTAAAAATATGTTCAGTGTATATAGTAAATACTTTATATCTGCATTGGATTCGACCATGTATCAAAAATATTTGAAAAAAGTTGTATCTGTAATGAACATATACAGATGTTTTTTTGCTATATTTCCTAAATAATACAGCATAACAACTATTTATGTAGCATTTACATTAGGTATTATAAGTAACCTAGAGATGATTTAAAATATAGGGGAGGATATGAAAATACTATGCCATTTTTTCAAAGGGACTTGAGCATCCATGGGTTTTTGGTATCCAAGGGGATCTTGGAACCAATCCCTCATGGGTGCCTGGTGACAACTTTATTTATTGGGGATACTTGTACCAGGTACTATGTGAGGTGTGAAGGATCCCATAGTGAACACGAGTGACAGATTCTTGCTCTAGGAGACAGGGATGAGTCCAGGTCACCTTTGGATCCCAGCACCCAGCACAGGGCTGTGCACAGAGTAGGTGTCTGCTCCACATTTGTTGACTGAGTGCACTAGCCTATCTGATCGTTGGACAACACTTTGCTCAACCCATCCCCCCACTCTCCCTTTCATGAGCAGGGTTTTTTTTTTATAACTCCCTACTTATAGAATAGCCAAGAACATCCTCACTCAAGACTTCCTTGTTTCCTGGTGACTTCAGTCTTAGATGCTAGTGGGTGGAGGAACAGTCAAGGTGTCAAGGACACTGGCATTCACTGAGCATATGGGGCAAGTCCTCTGACATCTATGAACTCTTTGCTCTTTCATGTCCGCTGCATGATGCAGGAAGGACAATGTCCCACTTTTTCAGATGGAAGGAATTAGTCTCAGAAAGGTGACTTTCCAGGTGTCACTGCCAAGAGGAACAGCTGGGATTTTAGTGCTTTTTTTTTTTTTTCAGTACTAGGGATGAATGCCAGTGCCTGGCTCTTGCTAGGCAAGTGCTAGCACTGAGCACTCCCATCCTGCCTTAGTAATCTAGTTCAGTCTGAAGCCAGAGCTTCAGCTGTCCATGGCCCCCACAGGCTCTGAGGTGCCTTGTCCTCTGACAGTTGGTGGTAGGGGGTTTTAAAAAGCTTAGCAGTGAGGTATCACAATTAAAAGCACACATTTTCTACTTAAGTGGACTTGGAATCCTAGTTTCTGCTACACTTGTCTGTGGAATTTGGACCAGTTTTAGCTGCTTGAAGCTCAGCTTATCTATCTGTACAATGGGAATAGTAAAACTTACTTCAGAATGCTGTTGTTACATAAAGATGTAAGGCACCTAGCATGGTGTCTTGTACAGAGAGTACTTAGTAACACAAAGAATGGTGACATAAGTGACATGTGGATGTTTCTTGCACTACTAGTGCCCTCCTCTAGATGGAGGCAAGAGCCAAAGAAAAGGCCCTTGGATTGTTCCCAGTGGGTCTCTAGTGACCCCACAGCACACTGAATGGAACAAGCAAGGTCAATGATGTCAAGCAGAAAGGCTTCTGGAGCTAGGGGAGCCCTTTGGGGACATTCAGCATGGGTGGGGATAGGAGGACCCAGAGAGAAACAGTGGGGTCAAGGCCAAAGAGGGGTATATATCTGCAAGTGAACAGGTGTCCAGGAGTGTGGGGACCTTATGCCTTTTAGGGAGAAAGATGCCCCGCCTGCTCTTAGTTGTCACCTTTGAGCCTCACTCACCTGCAGCTGGCAGAGTGGACAGGAGGCTGTCTATGATGTCACAGAACCAGGAACCAGGGAATGTTGGATGTGGGGGCCCTGGGCTGGACCATGAAGGGGGAGAAGGGAGGCTGTCTGCTGACCCTCTCTGCAGCAGTTCATCCTGCTGTCCCCCATGTCTGTCAGGTTGGGTGGAGCAGTCCTGCCCATGTATCTCCTATCGTTCCTGAATTAGTAGGCTAGCCAGGGCATGTTCTCATGAGGGCGAGAGGGCAGAGGCAAGACATGAAAGTCTCTAAAAGACATTTTAGTCTAAGTCCTGGCTAGTGTATGAACTACTAAATTTTCACTGGCCCACTGAACTGCCAGACAGAGCCCAAGGGGGAGGAAAGTGCACCAGACCCAAGACGACATGGCAAAGGAAGGCGAGGGATTGGGGGCCAGTGCCTCACAGTGTCGCAGGTTGATAGCATTGCTGTTCTCACTTTACAGATGGTGAAAGTGAGGCCCAGAGTAAGAGGCTGAGGTGCTGTGAAGGTTTAGAGTTGACAATTAAATTGCTTCACAAGGAGGTCGTACCAATGTGGTTCCTTTTCCACTAAGGAGAATGTTGGTGTATGGCCTGTGGCCACTGCCTCCTCCTATCTTTGCCTCTGTGATTTGGTGGCAGACACCTGCCCCAGAGTTGAGCAGAAGATTCTCACATGTGATTAGGTTGGGCCTGTCTAGATAATTGGGATTATCTCTATGTCAAGGTCACTGATGAGCAACTTTCATCTTCTCTGCACCTTAATTCTCTTAACAATATAACAAGTTCACAGGAGTAAGGAAGGAGGAGGAAGACATATTTTTGAATGAAGAGGTATTATACAGCCTATTTGTATCAAGAACATAAAAGAATGAAATAAACCAGCACCCTGTGGGTCACACCTATAATCCTAGCTACTCAGGAGGCAGAGATCAGGAGGATCAAGATGCGAGGCCAGCCTGGGCAAATAGTTTGTGAGACCCCATCTTGAAAATAACCAACACAAAAAAGGTGATGGAGTGGTTCAAGTGGTAGAACACCTGCCTAGCTAGTATGACGCCCCAAGTTCAAACCCCAGTATCACCAAAAAAAAAAAAAAAAAATCAAGAAAAAGAACAAAGTAACCAAATGTATGCTTAAGATTAGGCCAGAAATCACTAGGCTATAAAAGAAATAGGTCTAATCGTCAAATGTTTTTTTGAAAAAAAAAATAGATTGGAGAAAGCTGGCGGCTGGGGTTCAAACCCAGGGCCGTAACTTGTCTAGTGGCTAGACAAGTTCTCTGCCACTAAGCCGACCCCAGCCCCTTCACTAAGTGTCTGAACTACCCACAATAGGGTCTTTCTACATCGTGCACCTCTTGATGTCATGCACGGAGGAGGACACAGTACCATCTCTGGGGTATCTGGTCCCAAGTGAGAAACTTGAATGTGACTAAAAGGAACCATCAGCTAAATCCAAACTGTGGGACAGTTCTGCCTGGACTCTTCAGAATGTGAAGCTCATGAAAAGCAAAGCATGCTTCTAGATTAAATTTGACTAGCGGGACCTGACAACTACATGCAATTCATGATCTCCGTTCAGGTCCTGAGTGAGACCAAAAAAGGAGCAGTGAGCAAGGCTCTGGTGGCTCAAACCTGTAATCCTAGCTATTTAGGAGTCTGAGATTTAAAGGATTGTGGTTTGAGGTCAGCTCTGGGCAATAGTTCTTGAGACCCCATCACTAAAATAACCAGAACAAAGTGAACTAGAGGTGTGGGTGAAGCAGTAGAGTACCTGTTTTGTAAGCATGAAGCCCTGAGTTCAAACCCCAGCCCCACCAGAAAAAAAAAAAAGTACTGATGAGACATTTTGGGACAATTGGTGAAATTTGGCTAGTATTTGTATCAATGTTGAATTTGTTGCTTTTGATGATTGCATTGTGGTCACATAAGAGGGCATATCCTTGCTTTTAGGAAATACACATTGAAGTATTTAGGGGCCAAGGAGCATCATGACCCACTCAGGTCATTCAGGAAAAAACAGAAGGGAGAGATAAAAAAAATGAAAAAGCAAATAGGGGAAAATGTAAACCATTGGTGAATCTCTGTAATAGGTAAGTGAGAGTTCTTTGTACTATTGCAACTTACCTGTAAGTTTGAAGTGACTTTAAAAACTATTCAAACAGCTAAACTTTTTCTTTTAGATTAGTTAGATGTGACAGTATATTTAGAAATGATTTGTAAGAGACACTCCCTGGTAAGGGGAAGGGGCAAAGACAGGGGACACGATCTCTGATGCAATCAAAGACTTTAATTGAAGGCAGCCCCCCCAGCCCTGGCTGTTCAGGAGCTGGAGTGTCTCCTGGGGGTGGACAGGGATGGCTCAGACCTCTTCTCCTCCTGCAAGGGAGTTTCGGAATCAGTCTTCATGACTCCTGACCACAGCTTTCTTTCTCATGGAGACACTCCAGCTGCTGCACAGCTCAGAGCCCACGTGGCACTGTAACTAGAAGGCTCAGGGCCTCCCAATGAGACAGGGCTGGAAGGGCCAGTGCTCCTGGCGGTATCGGCTTAGTTTCCTCTTGTGAAATCCTCTTTGGGAAGTGTATATATCCATATCTGAAAGAAGGAAGGGAATAATTATGCTGGGTGAAGAAGGCCTTTGAGCTGAACTTGGTTGGATAAACTGTTCTGGTTGTCTGTGTCCCTCTCTGATTGGTCCTCAGATTCATGAGGTCCTAAGAGCTCAGGCAGACCTCACCCTAGGGTCTTCTTGCCATCGATCGGCCATTGTACTACCGTGGTGGAGTTAGTGACGGTCAAGTGTCTTGCAAAGTGCAGTGGCATGGGAAGTAGGAGACTAGGGCCCATCCTGGCTTGGGCACTAATGTTATCCCTGGGGGGCTTGTGGAAGGTCCCTTCCCCTCTGTGGGGCTCAGCCCTACTAGGGGTGAGGAAGGGGAGGGGTGGGTGAACTAGAGGGGCCTAGATTTGGTGCCCAGCAATGTTACTGCATTTCTTCTTCCTGGTTTGTACCATTGTCCTAGATGTTGGGCATCTGCCTTGCCATGATCCAGAGACATGTTATCCCCGTGGAATTATGCGCCTTCCACAAGCACTTTCTGACATTGTTTACTTGATGTGCAATGAATACCTGGATAAGTTTGGGGGACAGAGCAGTAGGGAGCAAAATGATATGGGCTGTGTGCTCCTGGAAATTAATGTCTAGCAGCCCAGGAGGACAGGGAGCAGTCACACAAAATGCACACACAGATGACAGCAGGAGCACTCAGGAGAAGGCACGGTCGTGGGCGTGCCCTCTCCTTCCAGGCCTGGTCCTCCTCATGGCGTTCCTAGCTTGGAGGAACCAGACCTCTCCTAGTGTGCTTGGCATGGCGATCACGGCCTCCTGATGATGGCTCAGCTCACATATCCATGGGGTGTGGTCATCAGGACAGGGCTTAGTTTCCAGAAGCCAGTGTTAGGACTCCAGTTTGGGACTCACCCTCAAGGTCACTGCTGCTGAAGGAAGATGTAGTTTCTGGAGACATCAGGGATTTGGTGACTGTGTACTTAGATTTCTGTTTGTTGAGCTCATTCTTGAAAACCTGCAAACCTAGCAATGGTAATTCAGCTTTTAGCTGATGCAGAAGCAGCACACATGGACAAGAGGTGGATATTATGGGGTGGGGGAGTACCTGAATCTCCTCCTCCCATCTCTCCAGGGCAGGCACCAGAGTCAAAATATGTATTCTTTTCAAAACATTAACTCTTTTTCTATTTGTAAATGTAATGCATACCTATTATTAAAAAGTTAGGGAATATTACAATAGTACTAAGCCGGGGAAAAAAAGACCCCTAAATGTCCCTCCCCCTAGATAGTCTTACATTTGTTTTTCCCTGTGAGTATTTTTATATAGCCCGTCATACCTATGTATTATGTGTGAATTTTACTTTTTTCCATACACATTATATCAGAAACCTTTTCCTTATGTCACTAAATTTTTAAAAATCATAGTTGTACAACATTCTACTTTATGGAGAATTGAAGATTTATTTAGCCAATGTTCTGTTGTTGGGTGTTTAGATGCTTTTCAGATTTTAAGACTATAAAGACTATGTGATGATAAACACTGTTTAACTTAAGGCTTTGTCTCTATAGACTTTTAGAAGTAATAAAAGACTTTGTCAACAGACTGAGCTGTGTCTGTTAATGGGGAAATATCTCTTTTTTATTGACTGCGTACCTTGAATGTATTGCTTTGTCTCTGCTCATACTGCACCATGGTATGTTCATCTTGGAGAGAAATGTACACTACTTAGAGAGATTGTGAAGATAAATAATGTCATTTTATGCTGGCTGCCAGAGTCTCACACCTATAATCCTAGCTACTTAGGAGGCAGAGATCAGGAGGATGTGGTTCAAATCCAGCCTGGGGAAATAGTTCTCGAGATCCTATCTAAAAAAAACCCAACACAAAAAAGGGCTGGTGGAGTGGCTCAACTGGTAGAGTGCCTGCCTTGCAAGTGTGAGGCCCTGAGTTCAAATTCTGGTACTGTTAAAAAAAATAATGTCATTTTACTAGTACACTGTAAACTCTGACACTGTGGGTTCCTGGACATCACTTTGCACATGACAAGGGCTCAGTTATGGTCATTATTATTATATTGGGAAAAGATACTGCTAGATTTTTATTTTGAAACCATTTCCAAAAGAAGTGTTTTACAGAAGACGCTCTCGCTTATAGGTTTCTGGCAAAATATGCCATTGAGAACTTTTTTCTGTGATTGTATAGTCCCATCTCTCAGTGGAACCGTGACAGATTCCCACCAGCACTGGTGAGTGAGTTTTAGATTTGCCTGGTTTGATAATAAATGCTTCCTGCCCCCGATTTTGACCGCAGTCTTCTCTGCAATGACCTATCTCCCTGAATATCAAGAAGGATTGTGGTTATAAACCAAAAGCCAAGATGCCTTCTCTGTCTGTCCCTCTTTCCTTGATATGGCACAAAAGAAGTGTCAGTCAGTGTTAGGATCCCAATTTGGAACTCAACTTCAAACTCACTGCTGCTAGAGGAACCTGTCTTTTCTGGATTGAGCTGGGTGCTCGTGTGCTTTGCTAAAAATGAAAAAGGAATGGTCGATGTGTCCTAAACTTTTCATGAACAAGAAATACATTCATTTTGTAAACAATAGAGATTTCAAGGCTTATTGTTTTAACTGCAGAGCTTATCAGAATCTAATTCCTGTTGTTTTCATTTCTTGACCACTTCCTTTGTGTTGGGCTCTGTGCTAGGTGCTTACAAATATTGCCTCATTTTACCTTCTCAGTGATTCTCAAAAGTAACAATGGATTATGAATATTTTCATTTTACAGGGAAGGACAACTGAGGCTCAGAGAGATTAAGTGATTTGCCTACCTTCTATGGCAGAGCTGACATTCTAAGTAACATGCAGACTCAAGACAGGGAGCTTACACTAGCTTAACTACTCACTATCTTTATGGTTTTGCCTTGTGTTTCTTTCTTGTACATTCAAATTTACTTGGAGATCACACCAAAATGCAAGTTCTGATTCAATAGGTCTGGAGCAGGGTCTGAAAATGAATTCTAACAACTCCTAGGTGATGCCTATATTGCAAGTCCGCAGATCGTATTTTAAGAAGCAAGACTGTAAGCTCTCTTGTTTATTGACTTGGGTACTTAGCCACTTAACCCCTATCTCATTTTAGGTTGAAATTATCACTCAAAAGATGCAAGAAATCTGGGGGTGTCCTAACAGGAGGGGAATGAGCACACCAGGGTCAAGAGAAGCCAAGGAGCTCTTGCTTGATACCTACTGCCTGTCCAGGAAGGCTTCTCTTGGGTTTGACTGGGAACCTTGGCGTGGTCGGTGACCTGGGGCTCCTCACATTCTGTGCAGCATAAACAGCAGATCTTTGAAGCCAGGTTTTGGTGGGCTGCTGTAAGAGGTAAAGTAATGGGGGGATGTGAGTTCTAGGGCCAAATTCCATGTCTGCTGAAAGTTTACTGCAGTGAGTGAGGGTTGTGGGCTGCTTTTCCCAAAGCATGATAATCCTCCCTTCTCCCAAGGAGAATCCCCAGGCCATGGTCCCTTCCACCTAAGCTATCCTCTTTTGAAGCCATTTTCCTATTCTGTACACAATTTTCTTACCCATGGAAAGGAGTTGAAGCCTCTACTCTGCCAGCTTTGTCTGCAGGGTGTCTTGTTGAATTAGTTGATCTTGAATTTGAGCCCAGTTCACTGGGCTGTTTTCTATATAAACAGAGGGCTGTAGCTGAAAACAACAGTCCTTTACCTGTGCTCACACTCCTGCTAGGCCCCACCACAGTGGAAGTGACAGGTCATGCAGAAGTGACCCATTAGGCTTAGGTTTTAGATAGATCTGCATTCTACCCCATTCCCAGGTGCATGTGCTTGAGCAGATTCCCTAGTCTTCTTAAGCCTCACTTTTGCTGTGTGGAAAATGGGCATGACAGTGCCACTTTGTAGAAGCCAAGGGTTAAATGAACGCAAGTGACTGTCGTGGCGGTAGGTATACATTAAGTGCTCAGCCAGTAGTTATTCCATGTCTCTCTCTTTCCTTAGTGAGCCCATTGCCTCCAAATTATCCCAGCCCTGAAGTCCTATAGGAACACGGTAAGGACATGCAGTGACGTAGGTTTACATCCTGGTTTGACATGAACTTGCTGTATGGGTACAGGTAAGTGCTTCTTTCTGTGTCTCAGGCAACTCCTCAGTGATGAGGAAAATGGTCTCACGAAGGGTTTCTCTAGTGCTGGTGGTCTAGCAGTGTGAGGCCTTGTTTTGTCCAAACTCCTTTTTCTGTATATCAACATTTCCAGATCTCTGTAAACTCCCTTTTTGCACTCCTCTTTCTGTGGCAAAACTTCCTTTGGGGAAATGTTACCAAGGTGTTGGTTAGTTGTCACTCACAATACCCAATTCACTATGTGACATGTTTCCTCTTAGGCTTTTGCTTCTCACTTTTTCAATTGCTGTGCTCTGGCCCAAGCTAATATCATCTCTTGCCTGAATTATTTCCCTAGCCTTTTAACTGGTCCCTCTGTTTTTTTCACCCTTAATGATTAATACAAAAGCAGGGAATGTCCTATTACAAAGTATTATGTCACACTTCTCCAAATTTCCAGTCACTGGAAAAAAATAGATATAAAAGATGGAGTGATAGGGTATTGAAGAAAGAAATGAAAACTCTGGAATAGAATCAAATAGAAATTCTAGTTCTAAAAAGAAACATTATCTGAAAGAAAACATGTATTCACAACAAACTGAACAGCAGAGAAGTCATCAATGAATTTGAAAACAGGTCATGAGAAATTGTCCAATCTGAAGCAGAGTGAGGAAAGCTTTAAGAAGAACGAGGAGAACAGCTGTGACGTTAGAGGTTCTACAGAGCTAACATACATGTGTAACTGGCCTCTCAGGAGAGTGGAACAGCAAAAATATTTGAAGCAACAATGGCTGAAATTTTAGTTCTCTCTCTTTACTGTTTGGAGCTATCCCTTACCCCTCCACTACAAACCAAATCTATTTATTTTGTTCCTAATTTTGCAGAACAATCCTCTTATTCTCATGATCTTTGGAGCCAGAAACCTGCCAGCCTCCTACCATTCTCCACATCCCTCAAGTTTGTTTGGCCTTTACTTTCCAAATATCTCTTCAACCTGTTTGCTGCCACCCATTGCCATTTTCCTCACCACAGCCAAATCCACCTTCATTCTCTCACCTGGACCACTGCCAAAACTTTCTCACTGGGTTATTGCCTCTCCCTTAAGCTAGACTTACGCAGCTAATGTGTACATCCCACCGTATCAGTCCTGCCCCAAACCCTTCGTGCTTGCCAGGTTGGTGGATCTAACTCCTTTTGTGATTACTGTTCATCTCTTCAGCCTCACCTTCTCTTGGTTTCACTCATTACTCTACAGTCATGAGCGATGCTAAGTAGGCCACCCCCATGACCTTTTTACAAAAGGATTCTGTTCACTGCACCAGGGATAGTCTCACCTCACGCCTTTACTCACTAAACTTCAAGACTTAGCTCAGAGGTTACAGGAAGCTGCCTCTTGCTCTGGGATAGATTAGAGACCTCTTCCTGTGCTCCACAACACACCACTACCCCACCTGTGTTTTCCTGTATCACAGTCTGTTACTGTGAGTGACTGCCTGACTCATGGTCAATGCGCCATAGCTACTTGCCAAAACGTTGTATTTTAATTGTCTGTTGTCAACCATCAGGATGGTTGTCCATGAGCCCTTTCTGTTTAAATAAGTATGTGTTATATAACATATATTTATAGAGAACCTACTATGTGTTAGGTACTGATTGGTGCTGGAAATACAGCAGTGAACAAAATACCTTACTCACATAGAGGCAGGGGTAGCGGGTTTTTTTTTTCCAACTTTATATCCCCAGCATTAATCCAGGATGGGCTGGACAGAGAAAAGATTCTTCACAAATATTTATTGAATAAACACAAGATCCTTCTCTGTTGGATAACTACTGTACATCTAACAGATCTCACTTCTCCCTTTTGCTAACTGATCTTTAATTTCCTGCACATAAGTTATTCCTTCCTCAGCACAACAATAAAAAATAAATTAAAAAATAAACTATTCCTTTTGGTTAGATGCACCCAGCAGGCTGGACACACACAGATGTCCCCAGATCAGAAGGTGACAGCCATTGGGTGTATATAGCCCAATCTCCAGTGGTCTTTTTGGATCTGCTGCCAGGTGAGATGATTTGAGCTCTGATGTATTTCACTGAACTCTCTCTTACAGATTTATTTTCTAGGATTTATAAACAAATAGAAATTTGTGTAAGACAATTAGATCTTTTGTTTTTGAGATGCACTATTTAGCAAATATCCTTGCCATTAATCTTGATCATCTGCTATTCCTTTTAGCTTTTCAATTTTCTTCATCTACTTATTCAAACTCTTGCCTCATGGTGTATTGCTCTGTTTCAGCTTGTCGTGAGTATGTGGAATGTAGAAGGAAGTGCTTCCTAAGGAAAGAGTGGAAGTAGAAGTCTGACAAACTGGTCACAAGTCAGTCCTGAGAACTAACGGTTGGAGTTCTGTTAGATTGGTGGTCTATTCGTACACAGGAAATGGCTAATATTTTTTGACTTGGGTCTTTCAAACCGTGAGTGCTGCTCTGTCTTCTTATATCATAATACAAGGTATCTTCACTTAGCCTGTATTCTAGAGTGAGTGATCACATGGCCTCTTTCAGGCTCTGTGTGGCCAAGGGATTCAAGATTGCGCCCGTGTACAAACTTGTAGTCAGCTGTAGGATAGTCTTTCCTGTTTGTCATAGTTCTATCTACAGTAAAGTTGTTGCCTCTTCCTGGAAAACTCCCACCAGCTGTACTCTCATGTGCGTCTTTTAATAAATGGCAAAATTTCACTAGAAGACTTAGAATTACCATGGCCATTGTGATAAACTGTGATGACAAAAATAAGAGACTTAAGAGAAACTGTAGAAAAGAGAGAAGAAAAAAATAAAAACACCAAGTATTCAAGGCAAGCCTTCTTTGATTGACATGTGCTGGCCTCAAAAAGAACAAAAAGAAAAACGAAAGATCTTACTCCTACTCAGACCTTCTGAAACCTTTCTTTCTTCACTCAAACTATTTTTTTTTTTTACTGCCTACTTGTGTTCCTCCAATACCTCTCCTGGTTGCCTAAATACTTGCTTTACAGTCCTTGTTAGAACAGAGCAATCAGAACTCACAAAATCCCCTAAAACTCCTAGACTGGAGGGTGATCTTGAAAGGTGGGATTTAAACCATGAGTGAGAGTTACTAGAGTGTGAACACTAAAATGTTCTCAAGCTTCACAATCGCAGCAAGTTGTGCTGTAATTCAGGATTCTCTTATTTATTGTCCTGGACTATTATATTTTTGGAGCTTTAATAATGTGGAAAATATTTTAAAACACCAGAATGAAGCCAGGTACCGGTGGCTCATGACCATAATCCTAGCTATCAGCAGGCAGAGATCAGGAGGATCACGGTTTGAAGCCAGCCTGGGCAAATAGTTGGCAAGACCCTATCTTGAAAAAATACTTCACAAAAAGGGGCTGGTAGAGTGGCTTGAGATGTAGGCTCTGAGTTCAAACTCCAGTACCACAAAAAAAAGAAAAAAAAAAACAAAAAGCAAAACAGACAAAAATCACCAGGATGAAAAAGACCAACTATATTTAAATAACTTATACATAAGTTAAAAAAAACAGACTTGATAAGGTAAGACAAATAGATAATACATCACCTAAGACTATTTCAAAAGCCTCTCTCTTAGGAGTAGTTTGGACAAAGATTCAGAGCAACACACACAATGAAGATGAATCAATAAGATACTTGATAGACACTTTTAAAGAATACTCTGGGGTAACCAAGAGCTTAAGTTAAGGAAGCCTTTTCTTCTTTGGCAAAGGGTTCAAACCTGAAATAGGGGACTTAGAAAAAATGAATCAGAATTATCAACAGAGACCTCAGGATGATTTTCAAAGACTCTTACAGTAGTAACTAGAAATCAAAGTAATCTTATGCTCTCCTGGATAAAATAATTGGCTCCAAGAATAAAAACAGAACAAAGTCTCTGATCTTTAAGAACTCAGAGTCTGTGACAAAGCATATTGTATTTACTGTGATCAGAAGAGCCATTACAAGAACCAGTGCCCTATGTCAGAGGGATGGCCGTCCACATCTGTCCACCAGTGTGTCCCTTTGAGGAGAGTACAGCACTCAATGCTTTCCTGTCCCTCCTCCAAACTCCCAAGAGGAGTCACGTGTCATATGGACGGGCAGCACTACTGTTTGTCGCTTATTTGTAAATCTTGCTCTCTGTGGTGAGCAGACTCTTTAATGCTGACTTGGACTAAGGCACACTGTTCTGTGTGGCGAGTACTTAGAGCATCCTAAGCACATGCCTCCCCACACCTCCAGTGGACATCATCTTGCAAAGTCTGAGGGAATAGAATCCTTTCTGGGGCTGGAACTACAGACAGTGGAGCAGACTTGTGAGCCTTGGATGACCAAGGTGCTCTTTTTTCTTCACCATGGGTGACACAGTCAATAACACAGTCAACATCGTGCGGTTCAACTGACCAAATTAAAATCTTTAGCGCAAGTAATTATGAATAATTAACTACCCTTGGATTTCCTTTTAGCTAATCGTGGGGAGTGTGTGCCATTGCCAGCCCTACAACACCGCAGGTGAGAGTCATGTACATCTCAGCCGAGAGAGATGGCAGCCTGGCCCCTTAAGTAGGTGGCCAGGTCTGGATACCAGACATGGTGCTTCTGGAGAGCCTATTTTTTTTTTTTAAACCCTAGACAGGGTCTTGCTATGTAGTTGGCCCAGACCTTGCAATCCTCCTGTCTCAGCTTCCCAAGTGCTGAGATTACAAGTATGCACCACCATGCCCAGCTCTCAGACCCTTCCTAAGATATTTAAATTATTTGTCTCCTGTCACTGAGTATGAATGGTGCAAGGAATGATTTAAAGGCAAAAACCAGAAAGAACCAGACTGACGGACTAAAAACCAGATCTCTGAGGATGGAAAGATGGAGCCGTGTTTCCAAGGAAGGCTGGAGACTGTGACGGAGAGCTAGATAACCTTGGAGGATTGTCCTGCAGGTGGGACTGAGGGAGCACCTCAGTCCTCTTACTGAGTAGAGAGAGGGACCTACACTCTCAGCAAAGATTGCTTGTAACCATGGCAACAGGTAAGCATCCCAGAAGCTGCCTTAAACCTATGCAATTCATTAATGCCCAGTCTTCTGAAAGAGGGGGGCATGCCCGTGGTTACACTTCCCAGCAGATGGGCCCCTGTGCGGGAGTGCTCCTGCCTCTGGTGCACCTCCAGTCCATGAACTCAGCAAGCCCAAGCCCCTTACGCATCTGCGTTAGCTTCTGACTGCCATGACAACACAGCTCTCTGTTGTCTGGCCAGAGATCAACTACTTCCATTCAATACTGCTTCTTCCCCAAAGCAGTTATGCACATACAGGTATTAAAATCCCCCTTCTTTTTAAAACACGAATGGTGGCACACACTATTAGTAGCTAATATTTACTACACACTATTTGCACCATGCCTTTTTTAGTTAAAAATAGACCTGGGAGGTCATTCCACATTAGCAGTGCAGAAGGTAACCAAAACCAGAGGTTTGTCTGAATCCAGGGCTGATGCTCTCCCTCCCCCCACATCTTCAGCAGGCGGAAAGGGGGAGCAGAACCACTTTCTCTTTTGAGTGTTGACAGTGAAGAGTTTTCAATCTCTGAGCTCTCTTCAGAAATGAAAACTCTCAGAGCATCTTGGAAGTTACAAGTATGGAAGCAGCATGGAAGTTTGGGTTATGATTCTTGAAGGTCTACTTATTAAAAGACTAATTTAGGAGAATGTATAGGCTCTTTGAAACTTGGCTTTCTGATCTGTGAAATGGAAGAAAAGTAGCATTTATGGTAGAATTAATTAGTGAAGGAAAGTGCTCAGCACAGCTTTCTGACATGTTGCAAAGGCTTCATGAATGTAATGATGATGCTGTTGCTGAAGAGGGGGGGGTCTGTGCTGAGATCAGTGGGGAGTTTCTTGCACCACCAGTGCCCTCCTCTAGATGGAGTCAGGAGCCAAAGAAAAGGCCCTTTGGTTGTCCACAGTGGGTCTCTAGTGACCCCACAGCACACTGACCAGAGCAAGCCAGGTCAATGATATCAAGCAGATAAGCTTCTGGAGTTCAGGAAGCCCTTTGGGGTCATTCAGCACGGGTGGGGAGAGGAGGACCCAGAGAGAGAGAAACTGGAGTTAAAGCCAAGGAGGGAAGTGAACAGGCATCTTGGAGTGTGGGGACCTTGTCCCTTTTGTGAGAAATATGTTCCCTCTTTGATGTCACCTTTGAACCTCACTCACCTGCAGCTGGCAGAGTGGACAGGAGGCTATCTGTGATGTCACAGAGCTGGGAATCAGGGAATGTGGGGGCAGGGGGCCTGGGCTGGACCACAAAGACAGAGAGGAGGGAAGCTGTCCCCAGGCCCTTTCTACAGTGACCCATGGCAATCCACCATGCTGTTCAATGGGGCACTGAATGCAAGTCCTGGTATCTCTTGTGGCAGCTCTTTGAGGACACTACAGCACTGTGTCCCTCCACCTCTGGCTGCTAACCTTAGGCAGATTACTTCACACCTTGGTTTCTTCCTCTGCAAAATGGGAATAATATATTTTTAGGATTAAATGAGTTCAGGGTAATAAATATTGAACATTGTCACATAGATGTAGTAAATAATCCAAGAAAGGGAAGTGTTAAAATGTGCAAGAGTAAGTGACATTTCTTCCCAATCTATCTTCCAGAAGAAGGAATTGCTTCCCAGTGGAGTCCTGACAGAAATCTCTGCCCCAAGGGGTGCTCTTTCAGTTCCTTTTTTTGGGACAAACTCATGCTACTTAGGGAAATCAAATTCGGTTAGACTGTTGGTGCTGTCTTTGGATGTGTGTAGAGGTCACTGGATACAACAAATGAAAGCCAGTTGGGCACAGTTTTGGAGTTATCTGTGGGGTAGGGGTGGTAGCAGGAGGGTGATGTGACTGTGAAGCAGAATGGATTAGGGAAAATGTGGCATGGAAAACAGCAGCCAGAAATTCAGAGATGAACACTGTATTAATGAATAGCTTAAAACCATGCAGATACTGCTTTTTTTTTTTTTCTTTTCATACTGGGTTTTGAACTCAGGGCCACTCCACCAGTCCAGATACTGCTTTCTTTGCTTTAAACATCACAAGTTGCAATACCTAGTATGAAAAAAAAAGAGGAAAAAACTGTTCTCTCCCTCTGACCTTGCTTGCTTGTCCAAATGATTAGTGGGCTCTCAAGGAGTCTCAGAGAAAGACACACCTTGGGAAAACACTGGGAAAAGACACCTCTGAGCACAGAAAGTATTTACAAAGGCAAATACTTATCACAAAGGTGGACACGGTCTTTTTTTTTTTTTTTTTGCAGTACTGGGGTTTGAACTCAGGGCCTCACACTTACTAAGCAGGTGCTCTACTACTTGAGCCACTCCACCAGCCCTTTTTTTTGTGATGGATTTTTTGGGATAGGGTCTCACGAACTATTTGCCTGGGCTGGCTTCAAATTGCTATTCTCCTGATCTCTGCCTCCTGAGTAGCTAGGATTACAGGCGTGAGCCACCGGCGCCCAGCAGGATACCTGCTTGAAGGGAGCACCTGGCAGGACCCATCCTTTGTTTCAAGGAGTGATCAAACATCTATGTCATAAAGATCCAAATTTAATCAGTGGGCCAACCTTGAAATCTCTGGATCCAGTTAAGGTAGTCTGACTGTAAGAATGACAGAATATATCAGGAATATTCCAGAACAAAGGGGAGCACTCATGCCAGGGTGAATTAGGGTCAAGCCCCCATTCTACATTTTACCATAAATACCACTGGTTTCTATACAGTTTGTGTGTCTCCCTGGGAACACCGATGCTCTAACTATTAGAGCAAGCCTTTGTGTTCTGCTCACTCACTCACAAAAGTATTGCTAAATTTTCTTACCATTGTGACTTATCCAGAAATTCTTATTCTGCAATCAAAGTCAGGGACCCAGGACAGAACTCTGAGTGGCAGGTCCCCAACTTAAAGGGAAACTCCACACCAGTCATTGATGACAACGGTACCAACCTGAAATATTTGCTGGAGGGTAAAATGGCTTTTAACAGCTAGCTTGGAAAGCAACACTCTGAAGGGGCGCTGTTTTGTTTGGGATTCTCAATTCTGGCTGCAAATGTGACTCACGAGGTGTTATTAAAACTCAGACGACCTGCAGCCTAACTCCAGACAAATTAGAATCCTAGGGCAAGGCTGGAACCTGCGCAGCAGTGATTGACAAAGTCTTCCAGGTGATTCTTGTGTGTAACCAAGTGCTGAATTGCACTGTGGGGCTGGCTGTCACACACTCCAGTACCAGGCCACATGTTAATTCACAAGAGTTTTAGAAAACATTAGTTCCTGTACCCAGGCCAGTGAAATCGCTCTTGTGCAGGGGGTGGGGTGGGACTCAAGCCTTGTTAGATTTTAAAACTCCCCAGGCAGTATTGAAAGCCATTGGCTTCCAGAACAAATTAAACAAACAAACAAACAAAAAACAACAACCCTAAAAGTTCCTGATGTCATCTGAATGGACCCCTTTAGCTTGGGATGAGTTTTTCATGGACAAGATTACACATGAACTCAACAGCACCATTTTTCAAATAATTTGGAAAAGAAGATTATAAAAATGTGTTCAATGAAAGCTGTGAACACCGTGATGTTAAAAATGCATGTGAAGCATTTGAATGAAATTGTTTTAGAACGTGGGAAAGTGAGGATAGCAACATTTCCAAATGAACAGATTTTTAAATATAATGTGTCATTGTAAATATATATCACATATGAATCCTTGTAAGTCAATACTTGGTTATTTCACCCATAGTGCTAAATGTTCATATATTTGAGTTGGTAAAAATACTTAGAGAAGCAATGATTATGTGAGGAAACATGGGGATTGCCTCCTGTTTGGGGTCGTTTACCATTCAAGGATGTATGGAATAACTGCTTCCTTCCCCTTGGATCCAGGAGAGGAGACTGGTGAGCAAGCTCCTGTATTGACTTCCGGTTCAGGCAGAGGATAATGAAATCTTGAACTAAGGCACAGGGCTGAGATGAGTGGGTGGTCTTGAGTCTGGTGATTTCAGAGTGCGTGGGCTCTGGGCTCAGGATGCCTAGGTGGGAAGCCTGCTGTCTTAACTTACTGTATGACCTTGGCCATAACCACTGACCCCTCGAAACCTCAGTTTCCCTATCTTTAGCATGGGAAGAATGTTTTGCTGAGATTTTTTGTGTGTGTGGGATTGGGGTTTGAACTCAGGCCTTTACGTTTGCAAAGCCTGTGCTCTACTGCTTGAGCCATATCACCAGTCCTAGAATGGGAATAATAATAGGGTTGATATAGAGAACAAATTAGACCAGCCATGAAGAGCTGGAAATGTAGTCCTGATAGAGAGAAAGCGCTCAATAAATGCTGTTATTATCATATTATTATTTTACCATTGCTGTATTGTTGTCATTTGATGTCGAGAATGAAGGGCAAGGGAGGGTCTGAGATGAAGTCAGTGTGTCTAGCTTTCACACTGGTGGATGTGAAATTATGGAATTGGAAAGAGGAACAAATTTTGGATGAGGATAGATTTAGGTTTTTTGAACACTTTAATTTGAAATAACTACAAATTCACAGGAAGTTGCAAAGAAATGGACAGAGAGGTCCGTGGAACCTTCACCTAGCCTCCCTCAGTGTTACATCTTATTTCACTACAAGAAGGAAACCAGGAAGAGAACATTGGATCAATCCTCTGGGCTCACTCAAAGCTCACCAGTCATCCACATCCTCATTTGTGTGCGTGGCTGTGTGTGGCTTGGTTATTTACCTCCACAACCCAGACACTGAACAGTTCCAAGAAAACAAGGTGTCTCCCCCTCAGGGTCACACCTACCATCCACCACCCTCTTTAACCTCTGGAAACCACTTACCTGTTCTCCATGCTCCAAATTGTCACTTCATGATTGTTACCTAAGTGGAAGTGCACAGTGTATAGGTATCTCTTTAAGACTGGCTTTTCTCACAGAGCATAATTTCTTTCTTCTTACTTTTTTTTGTGGTACTGGGGATTAAACCCAGGGCCTCCTTGCATTCTAGGCAAGCACTCTGTCACTTGAGCTGCGCCCCAGCCCTCACTAAGTATTATTTGGTTGAGGCTCATCCAGTTAGAGTGTGTATTAATACTGGTTAGCCCTTTTTCTTTCTAACTAGTCATCCACAGTTGTGAATGTCCCATGGATTTTTTGACCATTTGTTAATTGAGAGACATTTGGATTGTCTCCAGTTTTTGGCTATCACAAAGAAAGCTATTATTATACTTATTTCTGAGAGATAAATGCTCAGTTTACTCTGTAATTACTGGATTGTATGCTGAATCCATCTTTAGTTTGAAAGGAATTGAGAAATTATTTTCCAGAGGGACCTTGCCATGCTACATTCCCACCAGCATTGTTTGTGTGATTTGCTTCTCTGCGTCCTCTCCAGCATTTTCCTCACTATTTTTTTAGCAGTATGGAATTTGAACTCAGTGCCTCACACTTGCTAGGCAGGTAGGTGCTCTACTACTTGAGCCAACACTCCCAGACACCCCAATTTAGAAATTTTTTGAATAGGATCTCACATTTATGTCCAGTCTAGCTGGACCGTGATCCTCCTATTTATGCTTCCCACCTACAGGTGCACATCAACCCACCCAGCTTTTTATTGGTTGAGATGGGGTCTTGTGAACTTTTTGCCTGGGCTGGCCTTGAACCATCACCTTCCTGCTTCCAGAGATCAGGAGGCAGATTATAGGCATGAGCCACTGTGCCTGGCTTTTCTTCACTACTTATTTCAGCCTTTCTCTTAGATGTGTTCTGCAGTCTACTGTGATTTTACTGTGTGTTTCTCTAATGGATATTGGACCCTCTTTATATCTGCTGACTAGCCATCCACACATCTTCTTTGGTGAAATGTCTCTCCCTGTCTCTTGTCCATTTTCTAATTGAACTTTAAATGACAGTTTTATTGAGATCTAATTCATATGCCATAAAACTCACACCTAATTCCTAAATATTTTTGTCTCTCAAAGAAAGTCCGTTCTTATCAAGCAGTCATTCTCTATTCGTCATTCCTTCCAGCCCCTGGTGACCAGCAATCTACTTTCTGTCATTACACACTAAATCTGGACATTCCCAATACATTAATCATGCAATATGTGGCTTTTACTTAGGATGGCGTGTTCAAGGCTCACGTATCATGTATCAGCTCTTCATTCATTCATTCATCGAGACTCCATCTCAATCAATAAAAAGCTGCGTGGGTGGCACACGCCTGTATTGCCAGGTAATTTTACACTGTATGGATGTGTCACATTTTATTTATCCACTCATCTGTTGAGGACATTTAGGTTGTTTCTGCTTTTTGGCTCTATGAATAATG